CCCTCCCTCCCCGCCGCCCCGGGGCCGCGGGCCCGGTGGCAGGGCCTTGCCGCGCGGTGGCGCTGCCGCCTCAGGCACCGCGGCCCGCGGCGGGCCCGGCCGGTGGCGCGGTGGCCGCGGGGCCCCAGCGGCTGCCCCGGAGCCCGGGCCCCTCGCACACCGCTGCGGCACCCGCGGAGAGCCCTTCTCCCCCAGCAGCCTCAAACAGCCCTTCCCCAGGCTGGGGGCGGTTTGGCCCGCCCCGGGACTGGCGGACAAGGGGCTTTGCCCGGTGGGACCGGGCTGTGGCGGGAGGGGCGGGGCCCCCGCCGGGTTCTCCCTGTGTGGCAGGTCCGGCAGAGCCCCGCAGCAGCATCACGGCCGGGCTCCAGCATGGAGCAGAGGCTGAGACCATGCAGGGAACCCCAGATGACATGGATGCAGAGATCACTCGGAACAGCCAGAGGATGTAGATGTTCCATAGAGCCCCAGGTGTCACAAAATCATCCCCAAAGGGGATGGTGCCTTGGTACCTGGGGAACCTGAGCACGCAGGTGAGCATCCACATGATTTTAGGGCACCTGTTACGGCCTCTTGGCAATGCTGCACACCCAGGAACTCTGCTCCAGATGATTTTTACCCCGAGCACCCCTCCTCCTTTCAGCATGGGGCAGTTCCTTCTCCTCTGGCTGCTCTCCCAGCTGGGGATGCCAGGTGAGATGGGTCCGTGCCCTCCCAGCCCTTCATGGAAGGGAAGTGCCCCCTGCGCAGCCTCCCCCGTCCCAAGTGCCTGCAGGCACACACGAGTTGCTGACAGCAGACAACAGGGAGAGATGCTGCTGCGCTGCCTTCCCTGCTGAGGATCCCTGGGGTGCCAAGCTGACAGGCAGGAGCTGCCAGAGGAGGATAAATCAGGCAACTGGCACTTACCTGTCCTGAATGGAAGGTAGTGATGGAGATCAGCAGTGCTGGCAGGTAGCACACACGCCTCTGCTGCCAGTCACCAGCATCCCGGTTGGCCACCTGCACCCACTGGGAGGTGAGGACAGCTCACAGCATCCACCTTTCTGCAGCCACTGGTGGCTTAATGGTGCCCGAATAACCACCCAGATGGATGTTGCAGCTGTTGAGCTGGGCTGTCCCAAATAAAATCAGAGAATTATGGAAGCATAAACTTCGGAAAAACTCTAAGATCTTGGAGTCAAAACATTAAACCAGCAGGTTAATGCCATGTCCATCACTGAACCAGGCCCCCAGGTGCCCACATCCATATCTCTTAAACCCCTCCAGGGATGGTGACACCACCACTGCCCTGGGCAGTTGTGCCAGTGCCTGTCAGTCCTTTCAGTGAAGGAATTTTCCTTAATATCTAGCCTAAACCTCCCCTGGCACAACCTGAGAACATTTCCTCTTGTCCTGTCACTTGTTACCTGGAAGAAGAAACTGACCCTCACCTGGATCCATCCTCTTGTCAGGGACTTGTGGAGAACGATGGTGCCCTGGAAGGATTTAATGAGGTGTCAGGTGAAAATCGGGCTGCAAAGCCAGTTGCCACACTGTGTATCACTGTGTGGCACACTGCCATGCACCAGAAATGTTTTCAATTGCTGTCCCAGGGGATGAGTTATTCCTATGATGGATGCTTGTACAGAGCAGGTGTGAGGAAGAAACACAGGTATGTGGTTTAAGAGCCAGGATTTCAGGCTCCAACCCTTGGTAGCTGTCTCCTGTCATTGGTGCACATCTCTGCTGGCTCATGGGATGAGAGGAGATAGATGAGTGCTGAGCAGCCGTGGGCAATGCTGGGAGAGCTTGTCCCATCCTTCTCTCTCTTGTTCCCTGTTGAGGATATCAGGGCTTGTCATTATTTGACATCTATTGGTTAATTTGGCTGATTGTTCCCCATTCTTTAATGTATCTGTTATTTATTTATTCTCTGGTGTAACAAGCAGTTCCAGATTGATCACTTTGGCATGTAAATGAGCTGCTCTAGTGCTTGTCACTGAAATTTGTAGATTGGGGGAGTTTGCAATCAAACACAGCCGGAATCTAAATTACAGCATTTCAGGCAATAATAGCAGGGAGAAGACAGGAAGGATGTGCCATAAATAAGATGGTATCAGAGCAGGGTGCCCTGAGCTGTGCTGACAACATGCCAGGAGCCCCAGGGTGAGCTGCAGGAGTCCCTGCTCTGCAGAGCTGGGCTGTCCTGGCAGGGCTGGCTCCTTCCCCAGGGGAGAAGGGCAAACAGAGGAAGCAAAAGGCTTTTGGGAATGGTAGGGTCTGGATGGGGAGCAAAGGCTGCTTACGCTGGTCTCTGAAGAGCCCAGCACGGGGAAAGTGTTTACAGGACTACAGGCTGCAGGGAGCCTCAGGACTCTTGTATGGGATACTGACTTGACTGCCACCATGGATCATGTTTAGCCTTTTCCCACCTCCGTTCAAAGTCAATGGATGCATCCT